GTTCCTTGTATGCAAGAGTTTCTCGATCGGCTTACTTACCAACCTTTCAAAGAACACCTCGTAATGCCGAGTAAGATAGTTTATATTGCTTCTGTAGCTATAACTAACCTTTGATACGTTTCTCCCACATATCACGAGCGATGTTAGCTTTTAAAGGCATTAAAGCACTTCCACTCTCTCGTATTGTAACTGTCAGTTAATGAATGTGTTTATTCTCGTGAGTAATGTTGCATGGCTGTGTTAATCCCGCAGGCTAAAATAAATTTTACAACAGTTTAATTTCGGGCAATATTTACTACACTTCACTTCAGTTATCAGTAATCTCCCCAAATCCTATGTGGAAACAAAATTATAATTTTTTTTTCTTTTCTGCGCAAGCGAAATTTGGTTTCTGGCCCTGATGGTGAAATGTAATTTGAGGGCGAAGTCTTAGGTTTTCACCTTGGTTTAAGTGCATACTTCGGCCCACTGTGCTATGATATCGTGTAGAGGTGTAGGTGGATATCAATGCGTTATAGGTAGAATATAGTGCGTCCACATTCGCTTCTGTACCACATACCAGCCTACACAGTCGTAACCCAGACGATCACAATCCATAGTCAGTCTGAGGGCGTTAGATGGTGCTAGGATACTTAGGAGAGTATTGGTACATGCGACGGGAGAAGTGATAACGCGTAGGAGAACATTGCACAGGAGAGAGATGAGAATAATTCAGGGAGAATTATTATCGAAAAACCGAAAAGAAAGAAAATATTTGAGAGATGTGGGCTTGGGTTGGAGGATAATATTGTAGCATGTAACCCCGTTGCTAAGAAACAGATTTCTAAAAAATACCAATTGATTAACTGGGAAGCGGTGTTCTCTACGATGTCCGAGCAGCAGCAGCGTTACGCAACAATATAAGAGTTGTTGGGAGGTGTTTTCTGTGCGATCCGTGACGAGGTGTTATAAAAGGACAAGTCTAGAATTTAGTTATGAGACAGTCTCGAGCCAGTAAGGATGTGAACTCGGAAGTTGAGAGATCTACGGCATTGGAAGTTGTTACCAAGCAATTATTTTTGAAGACATAACAGACTGAGAAGATTTCATACTTGCTGTAATGAACTGAATGTATGAATTAGCGATGGGGCTATAGTTACGATTTGTAAGTGTTCAATAAATCCAGTTACCAGTCTATACTCCGTGTATAGTCACTCATACATGTGATAATATTAAAATAGATCTTAAAAAACTGGGATATGAGGGTGTAGACTGGATTCATCCGGCACAGAATATGGAGCAGTGGTTGTTGTGAACACGGTATTGAAACTTTAAATTCCATTAATACGAGTCATTTCTTGACCACTCGGGTCACTTCTAGTTACTCGAGAAGGACTCTACTCTGTGAAGTTAGTTCGTTGTTTAGTTAGTTTAGTCAAATAGGAGACTCTAGTTCTGCGGCTAGAAATAATTGCCCAAGCTTTCTGAATTAAGACATACAGCTAAGTGGAAAGATAGCTAACAGATGTTTTGAAAATGTGTCACAGTTCAGATATCTGGGAAAGACGATAACAAATCAAATTCAGGAGGAAATTAGGAGGGAATGGAACTTTTCAGTCCAGAACTTTCTGTCTTCTCGTCTTCTGTCTAAAAATATAAAAATCAGAATATACAAAAATATAATTTTACTTGTAGTTCTGTATGGGTGTGAGACTTGGTCTCTGACATTAAGAGAGGAAAATAGACTGAGGGTGTTTGAGAACAGGGTGTTGAGAATATTTGGACCGAGGAGAGATGAAGTGACAGGAGGTTGGAGAAAACTGCATAATGAGGAGCTTCATAACATGTACTCTTCTCCAACTATAATTAGAATGATCAAATCAAGGAGGATGAGATTGGCAAGGTATGTAGCACGAATGAGGGAGAAGTTGAATGCATATAGGATATTGGTGGGAAAGCCAGATGGAAAATCCACTAGGAAGACCAAGACGTAGGTGGGTGGACAATATTAAAATGGTTCTTAGAGAGATAGGATGGGTAGATATGGATTGGATTGATCTGGGTCAGGGTAGGGATCTATTGAGGGCTCTTGTAAACACGGTAGTCAACATCTGGGTTCAAAAAATGTTGGTAAATTCTTGAGTAGCTGCACATTTGGCGGTTTCTCAAGTAAGGTTCAACTCCATGAGTGAGTGAGTGAGATAAACAGAAGTAAAAATTTCATTCGATGAAACTTATTAAATATCAAAATTCATAAGCCTGCGCTAGATTAATCTTAAAATACGGAACAGAATTTATGTTTGTAAAATTTCTGGAGATAATATCCTCCTATAATATCCTTCTAGGACAAAGCCAGGAGGAGTTCAATGTCTTACAACTAGGGCACACATTTAAAGGGTCATTATTTCATTTAGTGACCAGAAGTCATTCTCCTCCAAAAAAAATCATATCGATAGAAATTTATTAATTTACATTGTTTAAAATCACTATCATGTTAGGAAATATTTGCTTAGGTTAAGAAAATATATATATCTCTATTACGATCGGATGGAATAATAAACAGGTGTTCAGAATTTCAGAATGGAATATGTGCTGTAGTGTTGTGACTAGTGAATATGTTTATAAATGAGATGCAGTAAATATTATTCTTCGTGTTGATTCTTCGCTTTTCTCGTGTATGATCTGGACTGAGTATCATGTATTGTGGAAGGTGAAACGCTTCACTTATTTGCAGAGAGAGTGATGTTTTGCTTGGAATACATGGAAGGTTAAGTTCGCATGTAGAGACACTCCGTTTCTTGTTTACTTTTTGCTCAACTGTGTAAATAAATTCTCGAACGCTTTATCCAGACTCATGACAGATGCCTGCAAATCGAGTTGTGGCGCCAAATCTCCCTGACCCATCACGTTCGTCACTTCCATAATCACCACAATGTTTATTTCCGTTTCTATTTTGAATCCCCCCCCCCCCACTTTTCAAACGATAGCTGTCAGCTGCCAGTTAACGTTCATAGCTAGCTATTCAGGGGAACATAGCAACGGCACTGCCAGCGAGTTAAATCTTTGAAGCATTAGGCTCAATTAAATTATTTTCAAAAATAAATTCCCACGTTCCAGAAAACACACTGTCTCCATAACAAATATTAAAAATATTACTACTGTATAAGGAAAAAACTTCTCTTCCTTAATCTGTAATAGGGGCCGCGCCATAGCTCAAGCGGTTAGTCGCTGGCTTCTCACCGCGGCGGCCCGGGTTCGAGCCCGGGTCTGGTCAAATAGGATTTGTGGTGGACAAAGTGGCGCCTGGGCAGGTTTTCTCCGAGTACTTCGGTTTCTGCTGACAGTCTTCATTCCACCAAATTCTCCATCATCATAATCATCCGGAGCAAATACAATAGGCCAATCAGTGGTCGATGTGCCTAGTGAACCCAGCTGGACTCCACCCCTCACTATGCGAATTTTACTCTGTAACCAGGGGCACGCGGTAGCATAGTTGGTTGAGGCACTATGCTATTAGCCGGAAAGTCGCAGGTTCGATTCCCGATGAAGTCATTGGATGTTTCAATTGACCTAATCCTTCAAGCCGCACCATGTTCCTGGGGTCGACTCAGCCTCTAACAGATATCAGGAATCTTTCTGGGGATAAAGGGCGGCCGGCGAGTAAGGCTAGCAATCTTACCGCCATCTGTGAGCCGATTGTCTCTAGATAATGTGGGAGCCTCGACGTCTCACAATTCTTTGGGCCTCCAAAGCCTGTTACATGGATAACTTTACCTTTACACTGTAAGTAGCTAAGCGCTGAGTCAGTGATGGAGGTTGTGATAACGGGCTGCGTTGTCAGGGCTATCGTACACTTTAGGGTGCTCTGATTTATAGACATTGAGAGATGGTGGGTTGATAATTAGTAGTGGAAACCGAACGGAACGAAGAAATCGCACGAGTTCCACTTTGTCCACCACAAATCCCGAGATGAAACCCGGACCTGCGCAGTGAGAAGTTAGCGTGCAAGCGCCTAACACATGGCATTTCCTCGAAGGAAAGTAGTCTCTGTTTATTCTGAGAATCATAAGACATTCGTCGATTCGTACTGTTGGCAAAGTGCACAGTTATTTAATGTTATGGTAGGCTATATGTACACATATACAGCTACAACTGTGCTTTGAATGGGTAAGAAACATGTTTTTCAATCCTTACAAATTTTTCCTAAATATAAAATGTTGATTCTGATGTACAAATATTTGTAGTTATGCAAAAAGGAAATGTTTTTCGTACTATTGCCCGAGATTACTCCACACTTAATTGTCTGATTATGGAGTGTTTCACTGCGGGAACGGAGGCTGGCAGCTTACTTAATTCCAATAAATTATTCTTTTTTTAATGTTCACTTCTTAACTCTGCGGTAATACCGTATGACCCTAGGGCTAGACGCAGCAAAATACGAACCAACTCCCTTCTTCTCAGTCAGTATAACCCGCGTCAAATGGTCGTAACATATCCTAAGACATATATTCATATCTTCCTCATATTCTTATATGGCTTAGAAGAGGTTTCCCAAACAAAATTATGTATGCACTTCTTGCTTCATCTAAGCTACATGTCCACCTCCGTTATAAACACGTCCATGTTTATGTCCCAATAATATACATGAACTATTTACATACATTTATCTAATATGTTACAAAATAACATAGTTATTAGCAGCTCTCATGTATCATATAAAGATATGCATTCAATATGATATTGTTCATCCATGTACCTGTTATAGCTCATAAGCACATACAACAAGAAGTTCAGGGAAGAATTAATCCCATACTTTCCTATGATATTAAATATTTATAGTGGGATGCAGACGGCCCGATTCCTAACAAAGATGAGGGAACACACAGACCGTAAGACGATCTCATGACCCCCCATACGCCAAAATTATTAGGGGGAGGTAATCTCCCCTATTTTTCTCAAAATAAGGAAAGTAGGTTAAACTGAGAGTAGGAAATAAAATTAGGTGCCTTCAGTGAACTTACCCGCTCAGGATTACAGGGTTTCCCTCAGAACGCAGGCCAATGGAGTGGTGTCCTTTATTTCCGTCTTTAATGCTTTCCTTCCTGCCGGCCCTGAAGTCGTCGAGATATGCAGATGTACCGACTCATCCCCCGTAGAGTACGTGGCAGTTGGAATCAACACCGTCTCCACATCAAATTGGTCACCTTTGCACCGGCCGTCACTTGTCGCGGCCACTTTGTTCTGTGCCGACAACGTGTTTTCATCTCTGGGTTTACCAGGCGCCGAAACATCTGTCCCCATATGAATTCTTACCGACCCAGCCCTGTGGACGGTGGATGTTGGCAGCAATGTCTCCTGCATCGTTTCGTTACCATTACATGTCCTTTCTGAACGCCACCCTCCAGCTCTTCCCATTGTCCCAGAAGCAGAAGAGCGACCGCCTGATGGCACGAAACAAGGAAGTACTTGTTTGAATTCCTTCCTGAAATTCTCGTTCAACCAGGCATACAGAAAAGGGTTGTAGCATGTAGAACTCATTGCTATGGCATGCACCATGAAGAAACACAGATTATAGTACCTCCAGGAACCAATGGGAATGTATACATCATTCAGAAGGTTGACAACATTCAGAGGAAGCCAAGAAATACCAAAGATGGTTACCATGGCAATAAGCATGCGGTTTGTTCGGCGTTTCCTCTCTCTGTCGAGTTCTTCCTTTCTGGAGTTCTTAGAACCCGGTTTTGCCCTCGCTCTGTCGTTTAATTTCAGTGATACCTTAATGTAGCAGAACGCGATTATTACGAAAGGAAGTACAAACTGCATGGAAGTGGTGAGGGCACCGTATAGCTGCCGGAAATTCTCCGATGGCCATGACTCTTCGCAGTAGTAACGTCCGTCCAGGTACCGGTGGCGGATGTATATTCCGTATGGTAGAGTTACGATCAAGGAGAACATCCAGATACTGAAGATGATAATGAGACATGTAATGAGTTGCATCCTCTGCTGGAAAGGGTAAATTATGACGAAGAAGCGGTCAATGGCTATGGAGGTTAGTGTTAGAGTGGAGATGTACACACTGACACCCTGAGCGCATGAGACGAGGCGACAGAGCACACGGCCGAATATCCACTGCCCCAGAAACGTGTATAGAGGCGTGAAAGGAACGGCTAGAGCACACAGCAGGATGTCAGAGAGAGCCAGGTTTGTGATGAAGAAGTTCGTCACTGTCTGCATGGCTCGGTTACGCCCGACAACGTAGCACACCAACACGTTTCCGAAGACGCCCAAGATGAAAATCGTAGCGTACAGGATGCAGAAAAGTGCCTGGACAGCGTGATTATGAATAATGTCATATTGCTGTAAGGTTTCGTTGTTGTTAGTCTGACAGAAACTGTCGTTGAAGTACAAGGAACAGTTCAACTCCGCTGTAGGCGCCATGGTCAGTCCTCCCATGTACTGTGACTCATTTATGTTAATGGTAGCCATTTTAGACCCTTTAATAACCCTCACTGGCACACATTTGATTTATTCCGTAGTGGGCCATCATATCGGAATAGAAACTCAAAGTTCTGGAGTGAAAAAATCGAAACATTTAACTTCTGCTTTAATCGTGTCTGGAAGTAGTTCCTTAATGAGTTTCCACAAAGTTTTGTTTAATGAAGCTGACTTGCCTCGCACTTAGATCATAATTCTGCATTTTTATTTATTTTTAGGCAATTAAAAACTGGCAGAAACGATCAACGATGCCAACCATAAATCACACTCAACACTGGCACTGAATGTTCTATCACATTTCTTCGCGCACTTCGACACGCCCCTCCCCCTCAATTCGCACAGTGTGAAGTAAACAGAAACTCAATCAATCATGAAGCCTCTTGAAGAGATCACACAGTGGACAGAACTAAATATGCCTAACACAAAAATAAACTGGTCTATTCCTCAGCTCTGAGCCGAGTAATGTACACGATTACATGAACTGTGAATATTCCATATCTAATGAGTTCCTTTAAGCAGTTTGCACTATTGGCATTTGTGTTAATCTAATATAAAAGAAAATAATTTACACGCTTCACAGGAGAGAGCGCTTCGTAATGGTTAAAATAACGTAGAATGTTGTTAGCAAAGTATTTTGGTAATAGAACGGATTATTTTTCTGTACATATTACTTCAGACACATGTAACACTGTCGGCGTAATATTATTACATCATCTGACCTAGTTCTCAAAACTTTTATTCGAATATGGCTTTATAAATTGAAACAAAACCTAATTCGCCATCATTCAAAATCGATACCATGTTGACAAATGTGTCGGTCTGTTTTCTTCTTCACCTTGTGCTCACGTAATTCGGTAAGTGTATATAGCAAATCCCTTTCCTGACACCAAAAAAAAAGAAAAAAAGCACCTTTAACAGCTTTGAATCTGACTAGTGTATGAATATTTGTTTAATGAAACAGGGCTTAGTTCTGATCCCGAGGCATGTATAATTAAATGAAACAGTTTATGTACACATCTGGGCTACGTTAAGAGGGTCTCACTTCCAGCGGGACCACCTGTTGAGCAGACAGCAACGGTTTTCGTAGCAGCGACATCGCCCGTGTGGCATACATATTGCCCTTGCCACGAAGGGAACGCTGGCCAGTTACGGAAATAAATTTCTTCCGTTTATTTTTACTTGAATTTAAATGAAATCACGTACGTAATAAGCCTCGTTATAAAAAAAATATGCCCGTAATTTTATGGTAAACAGATTCTTGAGCAAATAACAAGCGAAATGATCTCATTCACCCATCAAAAATTTATAACTATTACGATTAAAAAATTTGTATTATTTATTTTTACACCCTTTAAAACGTCAGTATTAATTTTAGAGAATGAAAATTATATTTGTTCTTTTTCTAACTATAGAATATATTCAGAAATACAGAACGAAGAAACAGATTGTGGCTGATATCATGTCGTATAATCTTCTTAGTGTATGTTCCTGAATTTCTTTCTATGGCATATTTGAGATAGATTGTCTTCTCATCGTATTTGTAATCAAGATTTATTCTCTATTTCGTTTTCCTAAAATTGGTTTCAGCTGATATATATCTTCACAAATAATAAACAAACTTTTCTCACTTCACTCTCTGTTCATACAGTGCCCCATAATTTACTTGCCATTATCATAATGTCTGGTTCTAGAATAATAAATTTCACCCCACTTCTCTCAGTAAGTAAACAAGTTCATAACATGATCCTGCCGTTGTTTGTTTGCTGATAAGAACGTTTAACAAGATAAGCTGATCCTCTGATTATATGCAGTGAATGCATGATCAGGATAAAAAAGAGAACCCAGATCACTGATAAGAAAATAGTTGCAAAGCATTTGCTGCAATTATTACTCTGTCTGTTGAAAGAGACGCTCTTCGTTAGTTGAAAACGTTCACTTCTTCAGTATCGCGTCCGTTATTCATAAGTACACACAGTTCCTAAAAACAAGAGCTCATGAAATGAGTCCACATCTTTAAAGTTGTATAATTTTCTGAGTTACTGTGTAATCCTTTCATATATACACATAAAAATATCTGCGTAAAATTTGTTCGTCATTTACAGAAAATTTAAATTACGTAAAATTCCCGTAAGTGTTTGTGGTTTAAATGAAACTTGAATTGACACAAACTTCTCTTTACGTGATGCAATGATACATTAACAACGTAACATTTTACACGTTACCTTCAGTTCACATATATATAGGCCAATAGATTTTTTTTTTCAATTCGATGATGTCTTTAAGGGTACTTCAGCCTTAAGGAAAAAAACTAATTATATTATTAAGTGAATGTTCACAGATCTTGAATAAAAAAAATGTGATCCAACATTCTGAATTCGCGCACTAATTATAGTTCTAAGTACATCACTTTAACACTTGACACTCCCACTAAGATTAACATATTTTTTTCTTTCGTGATACAATCGAATTTTAAACATATAACCGGCAGTTTATTTAGTAAAACAGTTGACAGTGTTTGTATAAATATGGTTGTTGTATATTAACGATGCATTTGATACTCCAGCCACAACTTTCTAATATGTAATTATTTCGCATGTCTTATATACAAAATATGTTCTCTGTATATATGGGGGTTCTTGGTGCTTATATGCAAGATCATATATATATACATTGAATACTGCACTACAGTCTGACATTCGGATCTTAACAATCAGATAAGAATTTTGGTAATATTTGAATGAAGGTCAGTTGGTAATCGACGTATGACAGTTTTCAGTCCGACATGTTTCACAGAAAACGCTTGACACTGGTCACTGCTACGTGACGTGATTCTGGCAGTTCAGAGAAGAGGAGTGCCAGAATTTAAGTCACACGAAGAGGTGTGGCTGGGCGCACTAGGACTCACTACCGCTGGAAGCCACAGTCTACGAACGACTAAAGAGCAGCTGCGGATGCTGTGTGGCTCGTTGTGTCCACCCATCCACGCACCAGAGCGCGCAACCGCGCTAACAGCGCGCTCGGAGGCGGCACACAGACCCCCTCCCCTCAATCACAGTATCTAATGGACTTTCATAAAACAGTTAAACAATACAAATACTGTGTAGGATTTGAGGTTGTCACACCGGCAGTTAGGTAGAGTGCTATATTCTGCGACATAACGCCGTGCACTCCGTTGAAAAGTCAGCCGACGTTTAGGACGAACACATAATCTCCATCGGATTGCCACCTACTCTCACACTGATATCTTCCTTAGCTTATTCTACCCTGAAGGTGGAGGCGATATGATCATGCGAAACGTCAGTTGACTTTTCGACGGACGACACGGCGTTAGGTCCTAGAAAGCTTAAATACAAATTCTTATATTGACGGTAAAATTTTGGGCCCAACTGTTCTCACGGCATTAAGACTGTGGTACTGAGATTCGCATATGGGTTGTCGGTATCTCTGCTTCTTATCGGGAAAGTGCACGGTTCTATTCTTCACATAAGTCTTGGCTGTTTAGACCAACTTTAAAATATAATCCACTTCTAATTCCAACAACTTGCTCCACATTCGTTAATCATCCTGTCATCGACGTTATATAGCCTCGATACTGACAGCGTCGTTAAATAAGCAACTTTAAACAAGAAGGTATGGGAAGAACTAGTCGTTTAATTTCGTTAATACGACACGAAACTCATAGAAAACGACGCGTTCAACAATCATTCTATTGTTGCGTTTGTATTCTTTGTCTCTGTAGCGATTTCACCGAGCCGTTACCTAGCAACGATAGGAGGGATTTATGAAGTACGCTGTTGAGGTGGGTTTAGATGTCATGATATACACACCAAATTTCATGAAGATTTGTTCAGCCATTCACAAGTTAATGGTACGGGGTACACATACATACAGACAGCATGGCCATTACACAAGCCTACTTTTATTTGTTCAAAATAGGGAAAGTAGGGTAAAAACACTTTAAAATAAAATGAAACAAGCTGACCACCTAACTACTTCTATTGCCGAGGACGTAAATTTGTTTATGTGTCGGGAGATTATAGGTTCTCACATCGGAGTCACAACGTTCCTCCGAAACGTCCATAAACTTCTACCATAATAGACAGTGTAATCCGCAGGTAGTAGTAATCTTTGTAAGATTTGAGGCTTTCACGGCGGTGACTATGAAGAAAGCAGTCTTCTGGGATTTGGCACCGTGTATAAGTGGTGTTAACCGATGTTTCGGAGGAACGTATCGCCTCCATCTTCAGGGTAGAAGAAAAAGTATAAGAAATCTGCAAGCGACAAGACCGTGAGAAAAGTCCAGTCTGCTTTTACCGTTCTCACGGTCTTGTCGCTTGCAGATTTCTTATACTTTTTCTTCTACCCTGAAGATGGAGGCGATACGTTCCTCCGAAACGTCGGTTAACACCACTTATACACGGTGCCAAATCCCAGAAGACTGCTTTCTTCAGTAGTAACCTTTATTTGTATGCTTTCTTTGCACGAAATTCAGAACATGAACTTAACAATTCGTACGTCTTCACTGCCCTCAAGAATGTTACTTTCCAAAAATATTAAATCTGAATTTGGGGAGCGGTTACTTCAAAACGTTCTCAGTGTCTGGGCAACATGGCGTCGAGGGGTAGGGTAATTGATAAATATTGAATTTGACATGATTTATAAGAAACAAATCGTGTCTTAATAAATGTACTCTCCCAGGAATTGCCTGGAGGAACTAAGGAAAACCACGAGAAACTTCATTTACAATTGCCGATGTCACTGCAGAGATTCGAACCGAGTACATTCCCAGTGTTACTGCCATACAAGTCTGTTAGATATCGTATATTTGTGATTGTGGGGTTGCATTGTAATAACTTGTCGAATGAGTTTCGTTTTAGTTCAATATGACGCTTACATACACGTATCTCTATGGCTCTACAACCCTGTGGAACTTTGCCGCTTTTTTTCAGTTTCTTAACCCTATACACATTCAGTAGGACTCCTTGGACAGAGGATCAGCCCTTCACAAGACCGCTACATGCACACAGAAGAACACAAACACAGAATAAATGCACACACACACATCCATGTCTCGAATGGACAACAGTGTTCGAGTGGGCGAAGACGGTTCATGCCTTAGACCGCAGGTCCACTGCGATCGGCGACTCTTTGCATATATGCAGCTGAAATCGAGTTTGTAGACCTTCAGAAGACTTGTGCATGAAAAGGTCTCAAAGGATGGCTTTCTTTGAAAGGTCGACATTTCCATCTTGCCAGCCCTTGCCTCTCGTTACGTCAGTAGAGCATAGACGTGGATATCAGCGTCTTTATGGAAAACGCGCATCTTACCATGTAATGAAAACCTCGAGGTAGTTTTACTAAGTGCTGTTATCGTGTTCAATGAAAAACGCGATCCTTGCTGTCTTGGAAGTTCTACCAGTAACAATAGAAGTTTCTAATCGAATTAGCATGTTACTTACAGCCAGTCTTTCCTAGAACGCTAACATGTAGCTCTATAATTTCAGACTTTGTAACAACATTAACTTTCCAAATGCTGGGGGTAGATATATTCAAGAACCTATCTAAAGGCAAAAATGGATTAGAGGGAGTCATTAAAATTTAGAATAACCTCCCCCTCAAAGCAGGTTTTCCTCAAATAAACGAAAAACATTTAAAATGGAAACGAAAAAACAAAAACGTACCAAATTAAACATAAATAGATTGTGATGGTTTCTGACGATGGTGTTTAACACCCAGAACTACTTAATTTTCGGACTTTGTCCATCGTCCGGTATTCTAGAAGTTAGAAAACATAAAGTTTCGGAAACTGGATCTGTTGCTTTCCTTAGTTAAGGGAGAGAGCGACTTATTCCGTTGCGTCCCTAAAAATGAGCTAACCTCAATCACTGGAAAACCCATGTCAGAGTCATGCTTTATCAGAGTTATCATTGCATGCCTACTGTTATCTCCTTCGACCCAGCCTGGTCTCAGATCTTTATATAGTTAAGAGTTATACTGACATAAACTGTGCTGTAATTGAGGTTAGCTCGTTCTGAAGGACCCAACAAAATATATTTCTCCCCCCTCATCTGAGGACGGAAACAGATCGTGTTTCCGAAACGTGTTTTATACGTAGTTTTCAGAATACCGGTCAATGGACACAAGTCCGAAAACCAAGTAATTCTGAGCATTAACTAAATAATTTGTGTTAAAATGTTTATAGTTGCCTGTTCTTGAAATTTTGTGCTGTGCTGTACTATCAGGAATTGTCCGAGAGGACATATTTCTCTCACGGATATGGAAGCTGTGAGCAGGAACGTACCCAGAATATGTGCAGAATGAACTACTGGAAAAAGAAACAAATGAAGGAAGGAACAGTGGACGTAACAAAGAAAGACAAAAGGAAAGCAGAAGGAAAGAGAAGAGGTGGAGAGAATGGAAAGAGCACGTAACGTAGTATGGGGGTGGGGGGGGTGAGATATGAATGGCTCTGAAACAACTTCATTGTGCTTCAGAAATGCTTTTCCAGCCCTCGAAACAGGCAACCCACGTATGTGAAGAGCTGTGGTACGCCATAAAGTTGCTATCTGGACGCACGACGGAACGGGTTCATAGGGTTCTCGGTCTTTATGTGCCCCCACTGCAGATAAACAGCGGGGCACGAGGGGCGTACGGGAGTGATGAGAGATGCATTCAAAATTCTAGTCCGAATCACTTAGGGGAAGGACCGCCTCTGTGATCTAGTGGTCAGAGTTCTTGGCTACAGATCCTGGGGTCCCGGGTTCGATTCCCGGCGCTACCAGATTTGCTGAGAAGTAGTGAGTCTGGAACGGGGTCCACTCAGCCTCGTGAGGATAACCGAGGAGCTATTTGAATGGAAAATTAGCGGCTCCGGTCTAGATAACCGAAGTTAACGAGCGTGGGAATTCGTTGGGCTGACCACACAACACGCTCTATCCACTAAAGCTGGTGCTAATTTCGCCGACAAACGGTGGTCGCTCGGTCGGTATAGTTCGCTTGCGGACTTAAGCCACGGAGTTTGTTTCTTTTTTCACTTAAAAAAATAGACAATTTTGGAGACCTAGAATTGGATGGGAGAATAATATTAAAATTGTTCTTATATAAGTAATGTGTCAGGATAGCAAGTAGATACACCTGGCTCAGGGTAGAATAAATCGGTAGGTTCAGGTGACCACGGCTCTAAAAGTTCCACGACAATAAAATGGCGGAATAGTTCTAACTTTGTGTTCCCACTCCTGGCCGTCTTTGCGTAATTTCGTCCATGTATTAATATTCACACTTCAACGTCATCTCCTCTTCTCATTACACGACACTACATGTTTCGGCCTGACTGGTCATCATCAGGTGTATAAGATGCTGGATCGAAGGAACCGGCTGTTCTGCTTTTCATTTTGATGTAAAATGCTTCTAGAAAATCTACACACAACACAAAAGGATAAGCCAACACATCAACATAACGTGCACCCGACACGTGCATAACAACGGCATGATAATCTAAAATAAAATACTTTAGAAGCATTTCGCTTACAAATTACTTAACAGAAACGCTTCTTGACCAGCTGGATATGTATAGATTTCTCAAGGACTCTTCTGCACGGTAGTCAGTATAGTGACTAGACCACAAGGCGGACTATGGAGGTATCTGGACTCGACTACCTTCAGGGACAAGAGACTTTCCCTTCTCCACAACATCCAGGCCGTTGCTGTGTCCGGTCCAGCATCCAAATTAATGACGACATAGAATTAACCATTCTCCTCCACGTAGTGCTGAAGCTAAGAATCCGTGGAGCTGTGTCTCCGCTCCCCATACATTTGTGTTGTGTGATGCTTAATTAAGCAGACGGGTTACTTCATCTTGCTTTATTCTTGTTATTGGTGCTAATGCAGCTGTTGAGTAGTTACTATAGGATTCTGA